CCCCAAAACCCCAAAACCCCAAAACCCCAAAACCCCAATAATTTATTAATCATTGATATATTTTAAAATTTAAGAGTGATGAAGACCGATGGTTAGACAGCTACCACCTTCCGCTTCTTTTGCTTCACAACCTTGTCTTTCTTCTTCTGGTCTTGCACTTTGGGCTTATTTTTAGAGATAGTTTTATTAATAGCCTCTGAGTTTTTGACTTTTGGCTGAGGCTCTTCTTCCTCTTCATCTTTATTCCTGAGGATATCTTGTTTCAAACTACAGTTTAGTAGGAGCTTACTTCTTAGATAAGATTGAGTTCTCTTTCTCCACATCATCTATTGCTTTCAATATCTCCTTCTGCTTTAGTCTAAGAGATGATTAATGATCGCTTTACCTCTTCATATCCTTGTTCTTCTTAATCTGTCCAGGTAGGTTCTTTATCATTTCTGCTTGGTCCTTCTCTGCATAAGGAATATTTGGCATTGACTTCCTGATTCTTTTAGCCTTGTTCTCTGCAACAGGGTCTACATCTATGTTGGATTTTGTAAAATCGATCTGCTTGACAATATCTACTGTGTGTGAGAATGAGTGGCTTACCTTCTTCTTCACTTTCTTCTTCCTCGTATTCATCTTCAGAATCATAAATCTCTTCATCAGGTACTTTGGAGATGAACTCAATTTTATTATTTACATAACCAATATTGATAAGATGATTCTGAGCCTTGGTATTTCCTCCCATTGCTGCATTATAGATCAATTGGGTTGCCTCCTCTTCAGAAGTATCGAAGATATGCGAATTCAGATATAACAATCCTAGATTAAATGTAGCATCTGTGTTGTGATTTTCATGGGCTTTTTGATAGCATTCTTCTGCTTTCACAGGATCAGGAATGAAGGCATCAAATCCTGATTCTACCATCAGTCCCATATTGTTTAAACATTGAGTGTTTCCTCTATCTGCACCAAGTGTGTACCACTGGAAAGATTTAGTTTTGTCTGGTCTGATTCATCCGTACCCAGAATATCAGAGATTTCCAAGCTTCTCTCAAGCAATATCATGACCTAAATCTGCAGCTGCTTTATAATACTTAAATGCTGATTTGTATCATTTATCAACACCTTCTCCATTATGGTGCATGCTCCCTAAGTAAAAATGTGAATCTCTGATAGAATAATCTTCTGTAATTGACATCCTAAACCACATGGCAGCTTCAAGGAACACCTTCTGTGCTTTGCTCACTTTTCCTTTCTTGTAAAGAAGATATCCCAGATTAGACATTGCCTGTGGATTTTCTCTTTTAGCAGCATCTTCATATAGCTCATATGCTCTATTCACGTCTTTATGAGCACCTCTTCCAAGCTCATAGCATATTCCTAGATTGCTGATACTCTCAATATTCCCTTTCTCAGATGCTTTTCTGAAATATTCAGCTGATCTTTTATACTGACCTCTTTCATAAAGGATAGCTCCAATACTGTTGAGAGCCTGGTCATCAAAAGATACCTCCTCATAGATCTTGAGGGCTCTGTCTTTGTCAACTTTGACGCTATGCTCTCCTTTTTCATAGATCTGAGCATATCTTAGTGTAGCCTCAGTATTCCCAAGCTCCATTGCTGCCTTGTAAGACCTAAACATAGCAATTCTTGCCTCATCATCTGTGTTGTAATTATGGAATCCTTTCTCAATAAAATAGCCTGTCTTATATAAAGCATATGGCTGATTCAAATCAGCGGCTATTTTGTAATAATAAGCTGCCATCTCATAATCAGCCCTGTGTTGAAGATCACTTTCGTAAAAGTCCCCAAGTGCCATACATGCATTGAGATCACCTAATTTAGCACTCTCTTCATAAAGATCTACTGCTTTTTCAAAATTTTTCTTAGTCCCTTCTCCATAAAAATAGCAGTGACCGTCTAGAAGGAGCTGTTCAGCTTTAGTATTTTTAGGAATGGCAGACCCAAGCCCTTTCGTGGAGTCAACACTTTTCTTCTCCTCAATGCCCAGAGTTGACTTTTTATTACGAGGGCGGGTTGGTTGTCTTATAACCTTGTCCAAATCCCTCTTCTCATTATTCTCCTTGATATTATCAGCAAGCTTGTCCATCTGAAGTTGGACGTCTTTAATATCCTTTTCAACAATGCCAAAGTCTGTTTGCTCATTCACCTCGAAAATATTAATTGTCCTGGTGACTCCAGAAATCCGTTCAGATATTTCTTTGAATTTCTTTGTAACATTTTTCTTGATAAAAGCCCGCTTAATGACATTAGCCCTGTCCATTCTCTCAATATGTCTCTCAATATAAGGTAATTCATTGTTTAGTTCTATCAGAATCCCTTGAAAGCGCGGAATGGACTCAAAACTATAAGAATCATGTGTCTGAAGAGACGCCAAAAGTTTGTCAAGTTTATCCATGAGGTTATCCCTCTGCTTCTTTATAGAATTCAATTTCTTTGAATTCTGTAGTTTATTTTAGCACATTTGAAACTCTTTTCGCAAGGTTATCCAGGCTGACCACATTTTCGCTATTTTTGTTCTTCCTTCGTTCCTAAAGATATTGCCAAATTTGCCAAAGAGATTCTTACCTGGACTAAATTTTTATCCGCTAATTTATTATCGTACCCAGCTCTTTTGCTGTCCTCGCTCTTATCAGTCATCTCTAAGAAAATTGATGCTCAATAAATTTAAATTATTATCATGAACAAATACTTGGGGTTTTGGGGTTTTGGGGTTTTGGGGTTTTGGGG